AGAGCGCAGGGTGATGAACGACCTGATTTCGGTGTGCGGTTTCTATGCATTCTGATGCAATACATGCTGCCTTGCGGGTGGTTGTGTGGGGCAGGCCGTGGAAGAGCTAGCGCCTGTGCTGACGAAGAAGTACAGGATCATGCGCCTCGGATGCAGCAGGGATCGTGTGTTTGCAGAGTACGCAGTAGTACACGGGGATCAGATGGAGGGCCTACTTGGTCAACTGAGGCAGATGCAGATGGCGTGTGACAGTGTGCAGATAATTGAGCGTATGGTGAGCAGAATCGCAGGTGTGGTATGCGGAATTTGTATCACTGCCTGACAGTTCTTCAATTGTACGTGGTGCTTGCCTTCGCTTGCAGACACACACAGCAGTGGCCATACCATGAACACAGGGGGGTGTGCTGGTGGCAAAGGGGACGTTCGTAAAGGCATCCCCGCGAGAAAAGGTGTTCTCAAATGTGGCACTGTTGGCTCGGGGAGGCGGAGATTGGTTCGCTAGATGCCTGTGTATTTTCAAGGCGTTGAACGCGGAGGGCAAGTGGATTGGGTGTGCGTACGTGAGGTACTACGAAGAAGCCGGGCAGTGTCCCATCACAACGTGTACCCAGTTGTATCTAGCTCGTCAGAATGTGCGGTTCGCAGTGGTGCTGTTGAAGAGCCTCTAGAGGGTTGTACACGTATGCCCATCTTACAGCAACCCACGTATGCTGCTGGTGAACAAGTTTCTACTCTGCGAGTAATAGGAGTAGGGGCTTTTATCTGGAAATGTAGGATGGGTTTTGGTTAGAATAACAGTAGGGGGGAGGCGTGGGGTACTGACGTTGAGGGGTGGAGGCGTAGGAGGTAACGGAACTCGAGTGTGGAACAGAACAGGCGGACGGTCTCGTGCTTTGCCTTGTTGTGCATGTTTTGTGGGATTGTGGGAATGTTGTCATGGTTGGCATACCGGTAATTTGGTGGGCGGTGTTGGGTTTATGATAATGGCTGTAAGGGATTATGTTAGCACGGTGTTTTATTCGGGTTGACGGTTTGCCGAGTTCATGTTGGTTTTGTAATGCAGGTACACGGTGGTTACGGAACCATATACGATATGTGGCAGGGGCTATTAGTTCGACGTTCGGATTTCAAGTGTTTGTGACTGGCAGCTGCGACCTGTGTGACGTGAACGACATCCGAGAATGCAATTTTTGGCCAATGGAAACTGTGCACATGTGCACCTGGCAAGCAATGGTCAGAGAGCATTTTGAGGCGATTCTGTGTTTGTGGCTGTGTGGAGCCGATACAAGGTAGCACAGCTGCTGGCGAAGCGTACGGTTTCGGAATGAGGTGGCCATTTTTGGGGAGGTTCGTCATTTCATCTCCACCTACCCACCCGGCATGTATGCTGGTGGCCAGTATGAGCTCGGTGAAGCCCCCCTTGAAGGATATCATCCAGAAGTTGAAAGTGCACCCCGAAGATGTGTTTTTGTTTGTGGAGATACCGTTTTTGCCGAGCCGTTTGCCTAAGACCAAAATTCCAGGAAGGACCGGAACCCCGTGCGACCGGATCATAAGTGTGGGCTTCCTATACAATGCGACGGGAACCTGCAGCACGGTGCCCCTTGTGGTTTTGCGCCATGACGAGCGCCCAGAAACTAGGCGCAGCGGGGAGCCCACACCGGCGGTGATTGTGCGCTACACGAAGAGTGGTCGGCTCACACCCGAGGTATGTTGGATGATTTTGAGAGTGGACGGTTCCGCTGATTTCCCGAATGCAGTAGTGGCATGTTGGTGGTGTTGTTGTACGAAGCCTTAACTCAGCGCATGAGCTGTCTTGGCTTGGCGTTGCGCAGGAGTTCACCGAGTTCTTTCAGACGGTCGACAGTGTGCAGCTAAGCCGTGAACGGAAGACGGTTGTGTTCACCTACAACACCGCGCACCGCATTACCGCGAATGACGTGAAGACGACGGTGGAGCACGGTTTGACGGTGGTGCATTTCACGCACACGCGCTTTGTCAACCTCACAAACATTGTGCAGTGGTCCAGCATGTCATTTTTGCACGGCGTGGTGGACGCTTTCAAGGCGGAGTATCGTGTTATCCTGATGAGACGAGCGGTGCGATCGAATCTCTTCCACGAGGATTTCGATGCGCCCTTTTCCGTGGTGAATTACGTGGTCATGCTGCTGTGGATGGGCTTGGCCTGGAAGGCGCTGACGGCGGCTACGATGCAAAGGAGCTGGTGGAGGGCGGGATTGTGAGAACAGTAGGTATAGTTAGGTGCCATAGCTAGGTAAGTCCTAGCTAGGCAAGAGAGAATAAGCAAAGGAGGGGGTTCACTAGAAAGCAGCAGGATACATATATGGAACCCTATGGGGTTGTACTCGCTATAGAGTACCCCACTGCAGGCTAGAGAACAATAACATTCTGACAGGGATGCGTCCCGGAGACATGGTGGCCGTTGATGTGGCACCTGCACGGCATGTATTCGGCAGGCATGTACGAGCCGCTTGTCTCTACCACGGCGGACCTCCTGGTGCTGCTACGTGAATTCTGTGTGCGTCCAGCGTTGTATATGCCGGCGTCTGACTACGTGACCTGCGATGAGTGGTTAATGGAGTAGGCAGGAGTGAAGTTGGTGACGCCCACTACGCCCACGTCTTCAGGGGACGACGGTGAAATGTGCCTTCCGGATGGGCCTCTGATGCGAGACGAACGAAGCCGTCGGCGTGCCATCCGCAACGTGACGCACGCGTACGTTTGTCACGCTGAGGCGCTGGGGATTGCCCCAACAGAAGTGGCACCTGTTGTTGGCGCCTCTAATGGAGAGGTGGTGAGCCGCCTAAACCGCACACCGAAGAAGCGTGCGCGCAGTTCTGGGTCGTCCGACAGTGCATCCGTGTAGTGCGCTAGGCCGTGATGTTGTTGTTGGGGGGGGGGGGGGGGGGGGAGGGGGGTTGTAGGGTGGGCGTGGTTGGTAGATGTGGTTGCGGGCTGACGGTAGAGTATGGCTTTGTGTGTTGTTGTGCTTTGTAAGTCTGAACGCGGATATTTTTGCAAATGGCACATTTTAACAATGGGAAGTAGCCGGTTTGCAGAGGCATATCGTTGGTTGCGTATGTTGGTTACGGTTTTCGGAATAAGTGTGTAGATAGGCTTGACGCGGAAACTGTAGCGGGGTTTGTGCGGCACACTAATACCGAGTATTGTGAACGCTCTGGGCCCGAGCCGCATGTGTTCGAGGCGCCTTCGTAGAGGCGGTGCGGATAATGGCGCAGGTGACGGCAAAGTCACAGTTTGGTGGCGGTAATGTTGTGGTCGAGTGTGCGGTTATTGATGGTGGGGATGTTGCGTTTTACGGCCCTTGTTTTTTTGACACATGTCGCAACAAGCACGCAAGGCCCACGCAGAAAAACCTTCGGCCACCCAAAAACACAATTTCCCTTTTCCGCGATGAGTCCTCCTTCGAGCCAGCCTGCCCCTGCTGATCCTCACGCCGTTGCCCTAGCTGATCCTCCTGTTGCTGCCCATGCTGACCCTCCTGCTACCGCCCCTGTTGACCCTGTTGACCTTGGTGCTGCTAGTGTGGCCCTCTCTACTCTCCCCTACAAACCTGCTGTTGCTGCCCCTGCTGGCCTTGCTGTTGCTGCTGCTGCTGTAGCTATTGTTGCTGCTGTCCCCTCTCCTCTCCCCCAGTGACACTTGCTTAGTTTGACTCTTTAGGGCGCGTCCCTTCCTTCGATCGATCCTGCCCTCGATCGATCGAGGGACACTACTGTCTGGCAATTGACAAGCTCGATCTTGTCACCTCCGCTGTTGACGATCGATGTTGCCTTCGCGGCCACACAGATCTCGGCTTTTGTAGGATCGAGAGTTTTTCCCCCTTGTATTTTCGACCCTGTCACCTTGGGCTCGGGATCGATCCCCGACTATCACCTCCGACCAATCCCACCCCAATCCTGCAATCGATGTGAACGATCGGTTTTTCACAGCGATCTCGCGATCGATCGTGGGAGGGGACGGCCCTCAGGGCGGGTCCAACTTTGCACACTCTCATTTTTTCCGTTATTTTAACGTCAATGCACTAGTCAAACTTGACTCTACCCCAGGGCTGCCTCCAAACATTTCCTGTCCAGTTCCGATTGCACAATTCGGACTTTTGACAAGGTACAGTAACGCTGCGGGGTACAGTACCTGGAATGAGGGGCTACCCAATAAAGCGAGTATTTTCGCACCTGTGACGGAAGGGGGTCATTGGCGAAGTCAAATTAGCGAAAAAGGGTGTTACCTTTTGGCATGTTTGACGTGAAACGAGTTTGACGTGAACCTTCGGACGTGTTCTGCACATCCCCGGGAGTTTCCGTAATGTCATCATACATGTACAGTCTCGCGTTAAATGGATTCTGGTACGTTTTTAGTTCTGTTACATCCCGAAATGTGGTAACAGTGCTGAAATTTAATCATACATGTGCAAAGTTGGACCCGCCCTCAGTGCAATCTTCGCTTGCTCGTTCCATTGCACCCGTAACAACTTTGTCAGAAGCTCGTCGCACAGCCAATGGTTTGGAACAAGAGCTTTTCCCTGTCCAGCTGACCCCGCCCTGGCCCCTCCGTCGTCTGCAATTTTCCGGACGACTTGATGGCATCATTTCACAGCAGGAAACACGCGCCAAACCCTTCGAGGTCGCGTTGCGACCATGTGCGACGTCTTTCATCACAATGCTTGAAAGCCTGCGAAACTCAAGATTTTGATGAGACATTACTAACTTCACTTCGGTCAGACCATTCGCGAGTCTTTCTGGTGCTTTCAGGTTGTGTCCTAGCACGTTAGGCATATTTTTCATGCCAAGTCAGCTTTAGGCATTCGCCGTTTAACCGCGGTAGGACTCCAGCCCTTCCGTAGAACCCGTGCATAGAGGCTCGTCTTTCTTTGTCAGAAGACCGCAGCCAATTTTTACGCTTTTAAATTCCAGCCTGAGTGACATCTTCGAAGTTAGGGCTCCTTATCGGATCGCATAATGTCGACCGGTGATCCCGAGGGTCCAGCTGGCGAGTTCAGCGTCCGTAAGGATGCGGCTGGCGCAGCCGCAAAGCCGCGATCCGTGCCGTTCAATCGCAACAATAACCTGCTCGAGGCGAAGTCCGACTCGGAGCTGTCGCAGGTGCTGGTCGAAGCGAAGAAGACCAAACGGCCAGTGAGTTGACTTTTGCCCAAACAAGTAGTCCTTTAGAATAACCGACGAGCGAGTAGTCGTGACTGTTACTTGACGAAATGCGATTTTGTCTGCTAAAGCGAAGGAATTAGTGGGCCTCACGACTGTACACACTAGGTTTCGGTTTTCCAAAACAGTGCGAGCTGCAGCTTGGCATGACCGTTTCTAAGTAGACCTGCCACTCGGACGACGTCGTCGGATAACGCGGCCGGTACCCTTTACTTCCTGCGATGCCTCCTGATTCTGCTTTATTTTTTCCAGCGTGGCCAATTTCAAGTCGCCGTTTCCAATTCCCAGATACGAACTCACCGCCTTCCGCCCTCCCTCCGTTTGAAAACCCATCCTGCTTTTTATCACAGGTTGTTGTGACGTATGGCGCCAGCTGGTGAGTTTCTGCTTCTTTATGCTGTCATGCAGTCGGCATGGCATGCATGGTTAGGTCCGTGGTGCATTGTTTGATATGGTCCGCAACCACACTAATTGTATGTTCTGCATGTTTGAGGAATTGTTCAAATTTTGTTCTCTTCAAAACTCTCAGTTCAAGGCATTTCACCATCCTCCTATTCACCTTTCCCTTCCTTTCTGATACCACCATACCATCGCCATGCATCCCTGTGCAGGTGCCATGCGTGCAGCAAGATGCTTCCCACCTTTTTCAACCTGAGCAACGAGTACTCACGGCCCATCTTTGTGTACGCTGATGTGGATAAATGCACTCAGATGGCGGAGGACGTTCGCTACACCCCCACCTTCCGCTTTTTCCGTGAGGGCAGTAAAGTGGACGAGTTCTATGGGGCAGGTCCACAGAGGCTCCGGGATAGAGTGTGGCTGCAGTCATGAGAGGGTGGTGTTGCGTCTGTGTGCCAGGATGTGTGGGAGCAGTGACTGTGTATGTGTGTAGTGCAGGTGGTGCAGGGAAGGGGAAGGCATAAATGAGGTGGTGCTGCCGAGCCGACACAGAGATGCAGACTGGCCAGTGGGCACTAGCAGATGATGCATCATGTGCAGTTGGCAAGGGGGAATGAGTCTGTCGATACGTTAGGTTAGGGTTGCATTGCACTGCCTCATCCTTGGTTGGCAATGGCGACAGTGTAGAAGTCTGTGTCATTCTTTTTCCTTCTCAAAGCAGGACCTCAGAGGCTAGAGCGCATTTATCCGGTTCGTTCTATTTTAGGTAGTCTACGTTATCCAGCAGCATTCTGGACTGGTATAGTACATATATAGCTGTAATGCTAATTCTTGCTAAGTTTCAATTGACTTGCTTCCAGTAATTTCCTGTGCAGTGTGGTTTTTCCACTGTAGCATGATAATAGTCTAGTACGGTACCTTTATCCAGCCTTTTCTCTGACTGCTTTCAATCGTTAACATCTGTTGTTTGTAATTTGCAATATCACCGTTTAGTGTATCCTGACACGCTACTTTCTGACCTCACTGCAATCTTGTAGAATTTGGAACTTTTCTGGGTTCCCGCCAGCTGGCTTGTCATGACTGGCGTGAAGATTGCGCTTTGAACTCCACGAGCTGCGCGAATCCAGCTTGCCTCCACGCTGGCAGAGCACCTGGTTCCTTACTTTCTAAATTTCATCAGTTCAGTCTGTTTGCTTCAGTTTTTCCTCCATCAATTCGCTCACAACAATTTTGTTTTTTGCATCAGTGTTTCATTGTTGGCTCTCTCTTGCTTCAGTTTTTCCTCATCAATTTTTCCACGGCTATTGAGTTCTTTGCTGCTTGTCCAGCTCCGAACGTACCTCTTGGCTGCTGATTGATCCTTTCAAATCATGGCGACCGCCGCTGTCAGAGTCCTCCAAGCTGCAGCAACAGGGCCTTGCCACGTGTCGCTTCAGAGAAATGCGATCAAACTAGAGAAGCAGGGCACGTCTAACAGCTGCGGATTCAGAAGATCCTACGGGTTTACCTCTCTCTCCGCCTTCCATAAAGACACCATTTCCCGTGAGAGACGGTTCACCGCCTTTGCCACGTCGTCCGGCTCGACATCCACGTCAGAAGCCGAGCAGAAGCAACAACAAGAAGCCACGTCAGACGCCAAGAAACCCGCGTTCGAGGACGTGCCGGAAGTAATCGACGAAGACGTCGGCGAGGTCGAGAAGATTTTGGGAAGCCGCGTGGCGGAGGACGGCGTGACGCAGTACCTGATCGAGTGGAAGGACGACCACCCCGACAGCTGGGAGCCGCGCGAGAACGTCGCGGCGGACCTCGTGGCGCAGTTCGAGGAGCCGTGGTGGACTGCGGTGCGGCGCGGCGACGACGCTAAGATCGAGGAGCTGCTGGCGGAGGGGCGCGACGTGAACGCCGTCGATGGGAATGGGCGGTCCGGGCTGCTGTTCGCCGCGGGGCTTGGGAATGAGAAGGTGAGAGCGATGATGAAATGGTGAGTGCGGGGATGCGAAGGCGAATGCGGGAGTGGAAAGATGAATGCGGGAGTGGGAGGGTGGGTGCGGGAGTGGGAGGGTGAGATCGGAAGTGGGAGGGTGAGTGGGGGTGTGAGAAGTGAGTGCGGAAATGATAAGGGTTGAATGCCGTCCATGGGATGGCCGCTCTTCGCTGCTGTTTGCGGCGGGGCTGTGAATGAGAAAGTGACCCTGCCTTTCCACTCGTTTTCGTTTGCTGTGGAATGGGTTGGCCGAGGCTAGCGCCGTGAGAGCATACATTGAACGTGAGCCAGCTTGGAGCCAAATCTCGTATAATGCGTGCAATTTCGTCGCTTTTCGACTCGGTTACTGCGATTGGAGACGGAAATCCGTGCTTATCGTATTCGTTTTTTATCCTATTTTTACGTCCGTGTTTATTCCCTCGTGCCATCAACCCCCAACTTCTTGGGTCACGTCAGCTGGTTCGCAAACTACTGGAGGAGGGAGCTGACGTGGCGTGGCAGGACAAGGAGGGCTACAGCGCGCTGCATATAGCTGCGGGGTGAGTCGCTGCGGAGGGGAGAGCAGAGAAAAGCGAGGAGTTACTTTGCGTTCGGCTGGGGGAGAATGCGGACGAAAATTAGATGTGATGTGAGTGCTTCTGCACGTCGCTATGGGACGCGTAAAAGGAACGAAAACCTATGCGACAATAAGTGGATTAGGTGAACGGGCGACCAGCCTCTCCTATTCAACGACTACAGACGGAGACCAACCTGAACACTGGCACCTCTAAACACCAACTGAACACAAAACGCAAGAAGCCAACGATTCTCCTCTGTTGTTCAATAGGTCGACAGCTCCGTTTTCCTTCTATTGCCCCAGGACCCTGGATCTAAGTCGAATTCGTACCTACCAGGCCACCCCGCTTTCTTCCGTCTAGCCCAAACCTGAAACCTACATCTCCTCCCCCACTCACCTCTCTTCCCCCCCCCCCCCCCCCTTCCCCCTTTCAGCTACGTGCACTCCACAATAGTGCGCGCGCTGCTGGACCACGGGGCGGACCCCGAGCAGGAGGACAAGCAGCAGCGCTCGCCCCTCATCCTCGCGGAGCAGCTGCTTAAGGCCACTCCCGCTAATAACCCCGGTGCAGTGAGTGCCCATTACCCTGCCCTTTTTACTCTTCCTTCTCTTTCTTCCATTTGTGACGGTCTCAAGCAAGTCTTTTGCTGGACTGAAAACAATGCAGCGAGTGGTTTTTTTTTTAACAAACTAACTTACAGTCTCCACCAACCGTGCAGCAGATGGGTGATGTCTTCTGTTAATTTCGAATCCCTTCACCCGAGTCCCGCCCATAACACTCTGGGCGCCTTTCTCCACTCAGCCTCGCGAGCATCATAGCCAGCCTAGAAGGAAACCCTCCCATTCCTTGCTCTCCTCGGCGCACTCTCTTGTGCGAAAGATGGCCTGTGAAGTCCTGTTCAAACAAACCGGTGCTGCACCACCACCCATGCACCCCCCAAGCAACCCCTTCCTTCGTCCCCTTGTCAGTTCGCCCGGTGCCTGCCTCTTGACAACGTGGTGAGGATGCTCGATGACCAGGCAAACCTGTAATGAAGATTCTTCCTGAAATACATGTGTCAAACGAACCTCTCCCCTGTCTGTCTCCATCTCAGTTCGCTCGGTGCCTGGCCCTTGACAACGTGGTGAAGATGCTGGATGACTAGGCGAGCCTGTGGTGGGGATGCCCTGAAAGGCTGTGTGTTTTAACAACCCTTCTCCCATCCCCACCCACACCCCACCCCCAACCAACCCCTTGTCAGTTCGCCCGGCGCCTGGCGCTTGACAACGTGGTGAAGATGCTGGATGAGGCCATGTGTCAAACAAACCCCTCTCATCTCAACCCCACCCACCCAACTCCCAACCAACCCCTTTCCATTTTCAGTTCGCCCGGTGCCTGGCGCTTGACAACGTGGTGAGGATATACTGAAAGGACGTGCTTGTTAACAACCCTTCTCCTCCAACCCCCAACCAACCCCTTGTCAGTTTGCGCGGCGCCTGGCCCTTGACAACGTGGTGAAGATGCTGGATGAGGCGGTGTTTGAGGAATCCGAGGTGGATCAGATCCTAGACAAGCGCATAGCGGAGGACGGCACCGTTGAGTACTTAGTTAAGTGGCAGGATGACTCGGAGGACAGCTGGGAACCGGTGGAGAACATTGGGGAGGACTTAGTTAAGGATTTTGAAGAGGGGTTGGAGTATGGTGTAGCGGAGAAGATTTTGGAGAAGCGGGTGGTGGGGGCGTCACAGGGTGGCGGGGAGGGTGTGGTGGAGTACTTAGTTAAGTGGCAGGACTCGGATGAGAACACGTGGGAGCCGGAAGGGAACGTGGCGGCTGATGTGATTGCAGAGTTTGAGGGGGTGAGTGTGGAGGAGGTGGAGGCACGGCTGGGGAAAGAGGGAGAGAAGTAGAGAGGTGGAGGTGGTGTCATGTGGAGACGCACTCAATTTCATGCTTTGATTCGCCCTTGTTCACCCTTGTTGGACGTTGATCAGCCTTTAGGCTGATATACAAACATCCTGTCCTGTATGAAGCTAGAATTGCCCTGAAACTCCGAATGAAGGCTCGATAAGGCATTGCTTGATTGGGGCAGCAACCTTACCCTATACAGCACACTGTAAGCATTTATGCTTCCATGGATGCGCACTGAACCTCCTGTTTGGAAACAACCCAGAGGCACTTACAGTACTGGTCTGGTACCCAAGTTTTACGCGCCATAACACTGTTCAGCGAAAGCTCTAAAACCCCCCGTTTTTTCATTCATGGAGAAATTTGTACCGGTACCACTAGGTAAGGTAGACTTATGAGTCGACTAAAAAGCAGCATGCCCGAGGTAGACGCTCTTGCTCTACCTGGTAAAGACGGTGCATGAGAATGCCATCGATTGAGCGCGGGCGGTACCATAAGACATTGAGCATATCAATTCAGAGTGTTGCCCTTGCCCGGTTGATATTTGCAGCAGGAATTGAAGCCAGGACAAGCAACTCGAGCCATCCTGAAGCTAATATGCAACGTGCATCATGCAACATGCTCCCCACGCTGTCACTTGTTCTTGGCATCGAGGCCCGCAAACATGTTGGGCGCAGCAGCACCACGGGGATGCGGAAAGCCTGGGTGGGTGATTGAGTTCACTAAGAAGGCACATCCTACAGGTACATGCACATCATGCTCCCACCCACGCTGTCACTTGTTCTTGGCATCGAGGCCCGCAAACATGTTGGGAGCAGCGCCACGGGGAGGGGCGAAGCCAAGTAGCTTTTGTAGGTTGGGGCGGATGCTGAGCGAGCAGAGCATGTAGAGAAAGACCATGGAACAGTCGGTGGGGTCGTCCCCTGGCAGGTTGCGGTGCGACATGTTGCGCTGTCAGTGGGGAGCAGGAAGGAGGGAGAAGGTGAGGAGGTGGGGGGTGGGGCGATGGAAGTTTTAGTGAGTGCTAAGCGAGCAGAGCATGTAGAGAAACACCATGGAGCAGTCGGTGAGGTCGTTCCCTGGCAGGCCCCGATGCAGCATGTTGTGCTGTCAGTGGGGAGCAGGAGGGGGGGTGGGGTGTGGGGGATGGGCGAAGGGAGCATGAAGGAGTACTGAGGAGCAGAGCATGTAGAGCAAGACCACGGGACAGTCGGCGAGGTCGTTCCCTGGCAGGCCGCGGTGCGACATGTTGTGCTGTAAGTGGGGAGTAGGTGGGGGATGGGGAGAAGGGGGTTTGAGGGATAGGGAGGTTTGAGGGATGGGGAGAGGAGAAGGGAGGAGTGGAGAGTGTTGAAGCTTAGAGGACGGCAGAGAAGCAAGGACGGTGAGGGTGAGCGGGCAGGTCATGTAGAGAAACACCACGGCGCAGTCAGTTGAGTCGCATCCTGACTGACAGGTCGAGACGCAACATGGTATGCTCCAACTGATGGGCGTGAAAGGGTGGATTATGGAAAGGGGGTGGTGATGGGGCCGAAGACGATGAGCAAGGACTGGGGTGCGTCAAAGTGTAGAGGAGGGCAGATGAGCAAGGATGGCAGATGAGCAAGGATGGCAGATGAGCAAGGATGGAGAGGGAGCAGTGAATGTAGAGGAGAGGTTGGTAGAGGAGTATCAAGGAGAAGGGGGTAAAAGAAGAAGACTGGGGTCAGGACCTCCTCAGGCCATAATGCCAGGTTGCATCGAAGAGGGGAGGGGTTCGTGGGGAGAGTATGTAAGTAGGCAGAGCGAGAGGCGAGGGAGCAGCGCATGTGGAGGAGAGGACAATCATTGAGCGATTTTCGGATCGTCTCTGAAAACCTTATCAGTGACAAGAGTTTCAGATCAACGATGAGGAAAAGGGAGCGAATAGGTGTGGAAAGGAGAGGGAAAAGGAAGATCACAGTGAGCATGGTGAATGAATGAATCAGTTTACGGAAACGAAAAGGTGTGGAAACATCAAGAAGGGTTTAGGAGAGTTGCTACAATAATGTTAATGACAATAAAGGAGGAGGGGAGAATAACCGGGGCGGACCTGAATGAAGGCGAAGGGCACGAAGGGCAGCTTGGCGACCGGCTTGCCGTCAAAGAGCGAATTGAGCAACCCGAAGACGATCAGCAGCGTCACTGCCACCACTGCACCGGACTGGATGGGGCAGTGGGTGGGGGTTGGATGCAGATGGGAGGGAGGGAGAGTTGAGCAGCCCGATGACGTTCGGTAGCGTTGCTGCCACCACCGCACGCAGAGGATGGATCATGATGGGAGGGAGGGGAGGGAGAGTTGGGAAAATAGGACGGTGGATGCAGATGGGAAGGTGGATGCAGATGGGAAGGTGGATGCAGATGGGAAGGTGGATGCAGATGGGAAGGTGGATGCAGATGGGAAGGTGGATGCAGATGGGAAGGTGGATGCAGATGGGAAGGTGGATGCAGATGGGAAGGTGGATGCAGATGGGAGGGTGGATGCAGATGGGAAGGTGGATGCAGATGGGAGGGAGGGAGAGTTGGGATGGGAAGCGAAGACGATGAGCAGCGTTGCTGCGTGCCACCACCGCACCGGACTGGGTGAGAGCCGGGAGGTGAGGGGATGGATCTAGATGGGACGGAGGGGAGGGAGAGCTGAGAAGAGCAAGGGGCGACGAGAGTGGGCCTGCCTGCCCGCACTGCTCTGACTGAGCGAAGTGCAGGTGGGAGGACGGCAGGGGAGGAAACGGAGGAGGGAGAAAAAAGGACGAGGCGGGTGTGAGAGGAAAGAGCGAGAATGACTTGGGAATGGGGCAAAGCGGGGGATCTGGGCGGCTCTGTTTTTTTAAGAAGAAGAAGAAAAAAAACAGATTCGGCGGTTGTGAGAGGAAAGAGCGAGGATGACCTGTAGGGCAAAGCGAGGGATCTGGGCGGCAGATGAGACGTACGTGGCAGCTGAGAAGAAGGAAATTACCGGGAAAGACTACCAGCCAATGGCTGGTCGTCGAACCTGAAACCAGGCTCGGGTGATCCGTATCTAGAGCCTGGCTCGGCAGATCAACGTACCTGGAACTTGGCTCGGCTGAGCGCCTGGTTCGAGTCCTTAAGGCTCTGCTCGAACCGCCCGATCTTGCGCGACGCGCTCTTCCTCCCCGCCGCCGCCGCCGCCGCTCCCGCTTGGCGCTCCTTCATGGATTCCACGCGGCGACTCGTCTTCTCTATGCTCTGCGTCAACGCGCGATAGCTGGCGGTGCGGTAGATTAATACCCACGAGATGAACTCGCAGAGAAGCGCCGCGAAGGCGGAAATCGCGACCACCACGAGCCCATCGCCATACTGCATGATTGGTCGGCGAGTGAGGGATGCGAGCGAAATAGGGTAACCAGAGAGGTCGGAATTGATAGAAAGGGTGGCTACTAGTCGTACGAATGGGTGCAGAGCTGAACCCGTGAAACGATGGATCGAAGGCAACGAGTGGCAGAAACAGCAATGGAGGGCTGGAGTTTGAGGCGCATGGTTGTGGATGGGAGATCAGGCTTGGGGTGATCTGGATCTCGTCTTTAGGGTGTGTCAGGCGACCTCGTTCACAGTCCGGTTGAGATTTTGTTACCTCATTTCTCAAATCGAATCTGTAGCAATACGTATTGGCGACGAAGAAAACGTTTGAGAGGGCTAAGGCGAAACGTTTGCGAAAGCCGTCGATCGAACATTTGTTTGTGAAACCCAAGGCTTTGTTCGTCTCTATGTCCACACCTGCACATGGAAAAAAATCCAAATGTTCCACGCCCCCAGTGCAGTTCCAACCCCCCCAATTGACATGTACAGGAGGTGGATGTATCGGCGGGGTCTCGCACTGCCGTTTACCTGATTCAAATCGGTTCGGTTCGGTCTGATTTGGATTCTTTTGTTTGCATGCAGGTTTCGCGATATCTTCGTGGCTGCACCTCAAATTTGCCTTCGACATTTTTTCTAGGTTTCAGCATTGTGCGGGAACTAGATGCTGGCGCCATTTGTCCTTGCGCCTCCGCAACCAAGATCTCGAGGACCAACGCACAGATTAAAACATCCTCCAATCATTCAGCATCGATCGTTTTCCTTCCACTTTGTGCTTCTCCTCCTTGCGCCACTCATCATCTCAACGGTAACTTTTACTTCGTCAGCGACGGCCATGAGTTCCGGCATGGACGGCACGGTAGCAAACGACGGAACAGCTGCAGCAGCAGCAGCAGGCAGCGCGTCTCCTGCGATCGACGCTGTGAGGAACACGACGGCGCTGATGTGCCCGAGTATGAACCACGGAACGACGTGCGCGTCGAACTACGTGGTGTACTCGAGCGAGGCGAGCGCGTATCTGGCGGACCTGATCGCGCAGCAGCTTAGCGTGGAACGCGGGACGGTGATCCGGAAACAGTTTAAAGGAGGCGAAAAGGTGAAAAATTACTCAGGCGCTTAACGAATCAGATACGACATGTTTCACGTCCATGTTTCACGCTTTCGAGACGCTGGCGTGTTTCACATCCGCACCCTCACCCCTGACCCTTCGCTCCATTACCAGTACCTTCGCGCGCTTATGGACGCGCGTTCGTGACGGCCACGCACGTGACGGACGGCGATTTCCTGGAGTTGGTGCGGCTTGGTTGTGCCTTCCCTGCTTATGACAGCGACGCACGCGACGGACGACGACCTGCCGCAGGGTTCCCTTCCAACCCTGCATCCACCCCCTTCCCCCTCTCCCTCGCCCTCACCCTCAGTGCCTGCGCGTCCTGATGGACGAAAAGTACCAGTTGGCGGGTCACGACGTGATATTTGTGGCGGCCACGCACACACACGACGATCTACTAGAGCTCGTGATGCCATGTTTCACATCCCCACCCTCACCCCCGACTCGTCGCTCCCTTGCGTGCAGTACCTCCGTGTTTTGATGAACGAGAAGTACCAGTTGGTGGGGCAGGACGTGATATACGTGGCGGCCACGCACACAGACGACGACCTGCTGGAGCTCGTGCGACTGGGTTGCGCCTTTGCTGCTTACGGCAGCCGCCGCCGCATCTTTGTCATCCCCTTCCTCGGCTACAGGTACGTACCCCAATCCAGCATGATGGTGTTGGGGGTCTGCTGGAGCTCGTGCGGCTGGGTTGCGCCTTTGCTGCGTATGGTATGGCAGCCGCCGCCGCATCTTCGTCATCCCCTTCCTCGGCTACAGGTACAGTGCAGCTCTGGCGGGCCAGGTTTTAGGAACGGGTTTTTGTTCCATTCCTTCCCCGGATGCAGGTGGGTACGGCGTGGTTCCTTTCCTCAAGCACGGGTACTCGAGAGTGTATTTTTAGGGTTTAGTGTATCTGTAGGCACGAGGTTTTGCTCTGGTGCTGAGCTACGTGTACAGTACCCTAACCTAGCATCGTGCTGTCAGACATGGGGCGTCTGCTGGAGCTCGTGTCTCTGGCCGGCCGGTGCCTTTGCTGCTTTGAGACGTCTCAAAGCTCGTGCGTCGGGGCAGTGCCTTTGCTGCGTCGGGGCAGTGCCTTTGCTGCGTCGGGGCAGTGCCTTTGCTGCGTCTGGGCTGCGCCTTTGCTGCGTCGGGGCAGTGCCTTGCACGGGGGGGATAACCAGCAAGGTCAACGCGCACATTTTAAGCAGCTTGCCTCGCACAACATGCCTACTCCTCATGCTTTTCTCTCTCTCCTTTCCTTTCCACTCCTCCCACTCCACCCCCTACTCTTCCCACTCCCCCCCACACTCCTTTCCACTCATCTTCACTCCTCTCCACTCTCCACTTCAATCCTCCCCCACCTCCCAGCACCATGGAGAGGCAGGTGCTACCGGGGGAGGTGATAACCAGCAAGGTGAACGCGCGCATTCTCAGCAGCATTCCCAACAGCAAGCTGGGCAACATCTTTCTCTTCATGGACCTCCACGTGCAGTCGCTGCTGCAGTACCTGGAAGGGCCGTGTGTGAGTCAAGAAGGTCCCTCCCTGCAGGATCATGCCTTCAAGAAAATTATCCATGTGCCTCTCGCTGCTTATCTGATTGTGAAATCTATACCAACAGTGAGAGGAATTTTTCATGCCTCTCACTGCTGCTCTCTCCATCCTCCCTGCAATGCTGTTGCCTTCCATCTGCCTCTGCCATCTGCCTCTGCGAGTGATCCTCCAAAAGGGAAGTCGGTTTGGAGGAGGATCCTCCTCAAAACCGCCTTGGTCATCTGCTTCTGTCATCTGCTTCTGTCATCTGCTTCTGTCATCTGCTTCTGTCATCTGCTTCTGTCATCTGCTTCTGTCATCTGCTTCTGTCATCTGCTTCTGTCATCTCCCATGAGGGGAAGATGCTGGTTTTGAGGGCCTAAAGAATTCCGAGGATTTTTTGGTCGCCTAATAGATTTTCTGTTCCATCCCCCTCCTCCATGAGGAGATGATACTGCCTTTCTGCAATTCTGTTACCTCAGGAGGAGGCAACATCTCTCCTCATAGGCATCTCATGTGCCCGCTCCCCTCCCTCCCCTCCCCTCTCTCGCCCACCCTCTCCTTCCGTGCGCCTTCCTCACACCGCCAGATCCGTATGGATCTGTACGCCGCACCAGGCCTTGCTAGAGTGTGGCTGTTGAGTCGACTCAAAAGCCACACCAGGCCTTTCTAGAGTGTGGCTGTTGAGTCGACTCAAAAGCCACACCAGGCTTTGCTACAGTGTAGCTGACATTACAAGCTTCCGTTCCCTTCTTTTCTCCAATCCTATCCTCCCCCCTTCCCCATACCCCCACCATCCGCTCCACCCCCCACTGCCAGACCCGCATGGAGCTGTACACAGAGCAGGCCTGGGTGTTCGACGCTGGGTCCTGCTGCACTGGGTCCTGCTGCACTGGGTCCTGCTGCACCGGGTCCTGCTGCACCGGGTCCTGCTGCACCGGGTCCTGCTGCACCGGGTCCCTGATTCCCTCTTCACCCTCTTACCTCAGTTTCGCCCCGCTCCCTTCCCCCACCATCAGACTCTCATGGAGCTGTACACAGAGCAGGCGCTACTGGAGGGGTGTTCGACGCTGGGCCCGGCTGCACTGCAGGGTTGTTGGTTGATGCTACAATGATGCGTTTCCTGATTCCCTCTTCACCCTCTTACCTCAGTTTCCCCCCCCTCCCCAACTCCCTTCCCCCACCATCAGACTCGCATGGAGTGTGGCTGACAGTAGAAGCTTATCTTCCCTTTTCTTATCCAGTCCCATCCTCCCCCCTCACCCCAAACCCCCACTGCATCCTTCCCCCTTACCCCCAAACCAAACCCCCACCGCATCCTCCCCCCCTCTCCCCAAACCCCCGCCACATCCTTCCCCCCTACCCCCATACCCCCACTGCGTCCTTCCCCCCTCACCCCAAACCCCGGCCGCACCCTTCCCCCCTCCCTCCACAGACCCGAATGGAGCTGTACGCAGAGCAGGCCCTACTGGAGGGAATCAAGACGCATCTGGACCTATCTCAGCCGTTCATGTTCGCCTCGGCTGATCTCGGCCGTCCACTGTGGGTGGGTGGCAGCATGGGGTGCATGTGTGGTCACAGCATGGTATCCCGACCATGCTTTGAGACGCTCGTGCCTGCCTAGGTTCATGTTATGCGTTGGTGAGTGGTGGAATACGGTGATGTGTGAAAGAACATTATATGGGATAGTTGTGACCATGGTATGAAAAGGGTTTTATGCCTATTCATGTCTATTCATGCCCGTGCATGTGTGTGCGTGTCTGTGTGCATGCATTTGTGTGAATATGCATTTCTCTGCATCTGTGGGTGCATGTGATCCATCCGATCCCATCCCATCCCATCCCATCCCATCCCATCCCATCCCGTCCCATCCCACTCCACCACACCCCATCGCATCAGGTGGAGAGCTTTGCACGCAAGTTCAATGTGGATGTGGCGTTTGTGAGGAAGTCGAGGCACATGCAGGAGACATCGGTAAGGCAGCCTCTCTATCCTATCCCCACTGCTCTCCCCGCTCAAGTTGTCACACCCTTTTCCCCACGGCTGCACGCGTTCAATGTGGATGTGGCCTTTGTGAGGAAGTCGAGGCACATGCAGGAGACATCGGTGAGTCGCCTCTTCACTTCCCGCTGCTCTCTCCGCTATCCAGTCGTCACACCCTTTTCACCCACGGCTGGATGCGCAAGTTGAATGCAGTGGGGATGTAGGCCTTTGTGAGGAAGTCAATACACATGCAGGAGACATCTGTGTGTCATCCTTTCTCTCACAACTCTACTTTACTTTTCCCACACCCTAGCTTGCACCTCCTGTGACGCTCCTCCCCTGCCATACCTTTCGTCGATTCTGTTGTGTAATATGAATTTGCGCTGTGCCATTCCATTTCATGGCTTTCCATGGCATGCCATGTGATGCTGTGCCTCTTCTTGCCATGCCAACAGGTGCTAGGAGTGGTGGGCGAGGTGACTGGCAAGCATGTGATTATATACGATGACATGACACGCACTGGAGGTAAGCAGCATGTGACTGTATGCGATGTGGGATTGTATGTTCAACTAAGTGTGTTGATGTGATTGCACACGAGGAAAGCAATGGTATTATCATTTCACATGACATGATTCGCACAGCAAGTTTTAATGTGATCATATGTGTTTGCCTGACACACACAAGGGTTAGTGTGATTATATTTGATGACGTGTCACGTGACATGCACAACTTCTTATTGTGATGCAGTAACACACAACGTCATAACACACTGGGGAAGTAATCAATCTGATTGTATTTTCCTCCACTCTCCTCTTTTTCTCTCCCCAGCTCCTCTCCTCTTCTCCATCAGGCACACTGGTGAAGGCAGCAGATGCATACATGACCAGAGGAGTCAGTCAATGTGATTGCTCTACTTCTCTACTCCTCTCCCTTCCTTTCACTCGTCTCCTCTCCCTTCCTCTCCTCTCCTTTCTCTCATCATCTCCTCTCCTCGCCTCCTCGACATCAGGCACATTGGTGAAGGCAGCAGATGCATACATGGCCAGAGGAGCCAGTCGGGTCAGCGCTGTTCTCAGGTACTGTGTGGATGTGCCACACCACAATATACCATGCCATTTTACCACATGCCATGTTATGCCATGACATGCTGCCACATGCCATGTTACGCCATGGCATGTTACCACATGCCATGGCATGCCATATCCAGAGGAGCCAGTCGGGTCAGCGCTGTTCTCAGGTACAGCCAAACCATGCCATGCCATGCCATGTTACAACATGCCATGCCGTGCCATGCCACACCATGCCACGCCGTGATGTGTCGAGATGAATACCCATTCATCATCTGGCAACTTCTGCCTCACGCCATCTCAACCCGTGCTATGCCGTCACACTATGTGCTATGTAGTGTGGCATGTTAGTGTGACATGCTATAGTGTGATATGCAGTAGTGTGATATGCGGTAGTGTGATATGCGGTAGTGTGATATGTGATAAACTGTAGTGATAAAGATGTGTCATGTTGTGGCATCCCCCGTCGTCCTACTTACACTTTTGCTGCTCTCTTTCCCCATTGTCATTGTCTTAACCTCTCTTTCCCCATTGTCATTGTCTTAACCTCTCTTTCCCCATTGTCATTGTCTTAACCTCTCTTTCCGCATTGTCATTGTCTTAACCTCTCTTTCCCAACCACCCTCACCCCGCTCATCACCCCCACTCGGTCTCTTCATCCAGGCATCAAAGAAAGTCATTGGCATGTCAGAGAAAGCTGCACTTTGTTTCTTGTTGCCTTGCATCTCTTTCCCTCTTTTGCCTCCTTGCTCGTTCTGACTCCCTCCCAACTTAGCCGCTTCACGCCATGCTCTGCCGCTTCACGCCATGCTCTGTCGCTTCATCCCACTCCCATCCCACTCCCATCCCACTCGCACACATCCCTCTCCCATCCCACTCTCAACACAGCCACTTCGCCCTGGCATCAGACGAGGTGGTTCGCGTGTTGGAGGAGAGCTGTTCCCTGTCTCTGACTCCTCCCCACTCCCTCTGCCCTCCCTTCTTCTGCCCTCTCTTTCACTGTGTAGCACAGCCACTTCGCCTTGGCATCAGAGGAGGTGATTCGCATGTTGGAAGAGAGCTGCATCAGCGTCATCATCTCCACCAACACCCACCCCATCAGCATGGTACGATACATGCCAAAACCTGCTTCTAAGAAGGTCCAAAGATATCTCGACTACCATCTGATGAGCTTGGTACAGCACATGCTTGCGGCATAGTATGCTGTCTCTGAGTTGAAATACAAGTCTCCATGTTGGAAGAGAACTGCATCAGTATGATCATCCGAACAGCATCTCTACCACCAACCATCCTATGAGCATGGTACAGCACAGCACATGCTGGAATTGCTTTTCGGTTTTTTTTTTTTTCTTCTTCTTCTTCTTCTTCTTCAAGCGCCATTGCATGAGCACGGAACAATGCATGATTGCTGCATAACATGGTGCATGTTGGTATCTTGCAAGTTATGTTCTGATGCACACATGCATGATAATAGGTGTTTTAACCTCTCCTGTAGTACTTTACCTCCTGTTATGCTACGTTGGTCTGATCTACTCACGTTGACCACTGCGATGGCTCTCATTTTCCCATTCTCCATCTAACCATTTCGCCCTCTTCTTCCCCCGTCCTCTCCTTCCCACGCCCTCTCATTCCCCTTACCTCCTCCCTCTCCCCTCCTCGCAACCCCTTCCCCCCCCCCCCCCCCCCCCAATCATGGCAAGCAGCATCCATCAGTAGCAGGATCAAAGCCTAGCAAGTTCCGCATTTTGGACGTTTCGCCCATCTTTGGAGAGGCGATCATGAAGCTTATGCACGAATAGATATCGCAGGTTATGGCTAGGTGTTACGCACATATGTTTTTGTAGGGTAGGGTGCGATGCGATGCGAACATTTTGGTTGTAACTGAAGTTTCATATACTGAATGGTCGACCATATCGCTTGGTCATTACAACTTTACACGCCCTAAATCTCTCCCCAAAACATCTCAAACCATGATTGGACACGCTTCGGGTTCCAATGGCAATGGCCAGTCTATCTCAATTTCGATACCGTATGAGGTTTGCTCATCGATCATGTTGGGCTGAGAAAAGCCCTTAGGATCCTTCAAGGCTAAACTCTGAGTAGAAGTGTTGTAATTGCGGAAGCGTTTCAATGATGAAGTGTTGTTGAACCACCTTGCGCAAGTATGTGAGGGCAAGATAGATTATGGAAAAGTGATACAAGCTTTTATAAGATTACAAGGAATATGAAAGGGTGCAACTACAGTAATAACTGATTTACTGTTGCTGTTGCGCTTCGATACAGTGACAACTCGGGCAACTGCTCAGTATCGAGTCAGTTGTTTGTCCTTGCTGTCGCGCTGTATTTGGCAAGTCAAAGGTCGCTGACCTTTGACCTTCGCGTATCCTCCAGCAGTTACTTCTCTTGTTAACCTCCTCGATTGACTCGCCGTTGCTTCGTTACTATTTGCTTCGTTTACAGTTCGATGTTCCGACACATCAAAAGCGTTAAGTTACTTGTTTCCGACACTCCCCTTTGCTTCTGGAGTGTCGCTGCTGGCGACGTGGCCTTGTCCAGACAGTAGCATGCAGTACTCGAACTTTTGCTTTCCGAGCTTCTTGGTCAAATAGTCGGCTGCCATCTCGGACGTGGGGCAGTAGGACAGCTCGAGTCTCCCCTTCTCGATCTCGTCATCACGAAGAAGTATCGCAGGGCGATGTGGTTTGTCCGGTTCGCGAACCCGTTCTTGTTCGCTATGCGAATTGCAGATTGATTGTCGCAGAACCGAGAGAAGTTGGGTAACTGGGCCAACTTTGCTTCTTCTAGCAGTTCGCAAAGATACAAGCCTTCCTTCGTGGCTGAGCAGAGTGCAATATATTCTGCTTCAGCTGAGGAGAGAGCGATTAGTTCCTGCTTGCTCGACTGCCACGAGATAGGCCCGATAGGTCCTATCGGTAGATGTAGCCGGTGCGTGAGCGCCTGTTGTCTGCGTCGCCGACGTGGTCGGCGCCTACATAGCCGATTAGCTTAGGTGTCGAGGCTCCGTTTTTGTGGTAGGTCAGGCCGATTGTCGGGGTGCTGACGAGGTAGTGGAGTGCGCGATTGAGTTCCGCCATGTGCTCTGCTTCAGGTTTCTTAAGGTAGGTGGCGAGCTAGCTTGCCGAATGCGATAGGTCTGGTCGGCAGGTGATGGCTGCGAATAGTAGACATCCTAGCTTTCGCTGATAGTCGCGTATGCCGGCAGGCTTAAGTGGTGCAAAGGTTCCTTCGTGGCTTGCGGAGGTGCAGTACGGTGTGGAGATAGCAGTTGGAGTTAATCTGAAACGTTTGGCAATGGTGTTGGCGTATTTTGCGGCGCTGAGATGGATCGTGTTCCCGTCATCCCGTATGTTGAGTTCTAGGTACTGTGTCACGGTTGATGAAATGGTAAGAGTTAAGTCCCGCTGCAGCTCCCCTTCGAACCAAGTTGTGACGCCGTTGGTCGAGCCAATGTAGAGTAAATCGTCCACATAGGCGATCAGCAAGATGTAGTCAGTTCTTTTCGTGAGGCGGTACATTCCTTGATCGTGCGGCAGTTGTCGGAATCCGATGCGAATTAGCCGCGCATGTAGATACTGCTGCCACAGTCTCGGGGCTTTTTTGATGCCATATAAGGACTTCAGTAACTGACAGACTTGGTTGGGGTCTGCATTGGAGCCGTGCGGTTGCTCGACGAAGATTTTAGCATCGACGGGTGCGTAGAGAAATGCGTTGGCGACGTCGATTTGACGAAGCTTTTTTCTGCTTCATGGCAGCTATCGCAAGGAGAATCCGCAGTGAGGTGTGCCGACTAACATGTGCGAACATTTCGGTGAAGTCTCGTCCGTGCTCTTGGTCGAAGCCACGTATGACCCATCGTGCCTTGAATTTGTCGATGGTTTCGTTTGCCTATGTTTTCACCCGAAAAACCCATTTGCCGGTGAGAATGGTCTTGTTCCGTGCCACACCGATAGGTACGACCTTCCAGGTGTTGCGTTCTTCGAGTGCCTTTAACTCCCTGTCCATGGCCTCGCGCCATATTTTCCCTGTGCTCCCCCCCCCAGAGCCTGCTAAACTGTGGCAGGCTCCTTAGGTGGCGCCGTGCCGTGGACTGCGGTGACGAGTCCGAGTATCTGGAGTCCACTCTGTGTGTAGCAGAGAAGATTTGCATCTTTGGGATAAGCTGCTTCGTCTCCCGCTTCTGGATCAGGTAAGAAATTTGGCCCTATGCGTTCTGCTTCATCCGTGTTGACTTGCACGGGTGTAACGTAACCGTTGTCAGCGAGGTCATAGAAGACTTCGGCGTTGATGCTTTTGCGAGGGTTGTCATTATCCATTGGGATGTCCACCGAGCAGTAGGGAAGAGGTCCGGCTTCTGCCGAAGCGAAGGCTCGGTCCCCACGAAATCCGCTTGTGACATCTCGTGAGGTTTCCAAATTGTACAGGTACGTCGGAAGAGGGAGACATTTGTAGAAGACCACGTCACGTGCTGCTACTGTCTCCTTTGTGTGGACGTCGAAGATCTTCCATGCGTTGTAGTTTTTTTCGATGCCCAGGTGTAGCCCCCATTGTGAGCGTTGGAAGAATCAACCAGCGAGTGCAGCTTGGGGTCGGTACAGTACCATGCAGCCGAACACTCGTAACATTTTTGTGTTGCCCAATTTTCTTGTCCACAGCAGATGCGGTGATGCGTTGTTCGGGAGCGATGATGACAAGAGCAAGTTGTGCAGCATGACAGCATGGTCCATCGCCTCAGGCCACTGGTGGTTGGGTAGCCGCATGCCACGTAGCAATTTGCGCATGATGTTCTGGAGGGTCATGTTCATTCTTTCTGCCATGCCTTGCTGTTGATGAGGGTAGGGAAGGGAGGTGAGCCGCTTGATGCCTTTCTCTGCCAAGTACCGCGTGAACCTCTGTGACTGATGTTCCCCTCCCCCGTTTGACTGGAAGCTTTTCAGCTTCACTCCTGATTCTCGTTCTGCTACTGGAAGTCAGGCGACGAAATCTTTGAAAGCCATGTCGCGACTCGGAAGGTTAAGATGCCATACATATCGTGTGGTGGCGTTGATGAAAGTGATGACGTAGTTGTATGCTCCTTGACCCGGTTCACGGTTGTAGAGTATGTCACTGTACACCTTCTCCAGAGGTGTGTATGCCGGTGCACTTGGGTTGTGGTGAGGGACGAACGGCTGATGCGGTAACTCGGCTTCAGGGCAGGTGAAGCATGTTCCTTGAACTCGTTGGAGTTCTCTGCCGTCGGGTAAGAGTAGCAAGTCCTTATCAAGTACTCCTGCTCTTATCGTGTTGTTCAACGCTGTGTTGCTGGGATGTCCTAACCTTTAATGCCCTAAAGATTCGTTGGCGCGATGTCCAGGTGAACGCCTGTATAGATTGGAGTTGGAGTAGAAACCAACAGTGAAGTTGGCGCTTCTGTGTGTTAGAATGAGAAGTGATTGCACTAGGTCAAATGTGGGGTACAAGTAGGAAACCCTAAAGTTATCATACCCCATAGTGTCTACCCCACTACAGCCTAAACAAACTGTAGCAGATATAACATTTGACACACCCCCATAGGCAAAGTGGGGGAGAGCAAGGGGTCACAAGACTAGTCAAGAAAGGCAAAGCAAGCTCAAGGTGGATCACAACGTCACCACACTCACTGAGCACAAGCAAGAGGCCACAAGGCCAGTTCAGATGCAGATGCATATATGTAACACAAGCATCAAAGTGATCTATACCTAGCAAAGCAAGCATGCAGGTATATATATATATAGATCACAGTACAGGCAAAGTCTACAACAAGTGAGGAAAAGTGGGCACATGCCCTAGCAAAGTGCAGAAACGCTGATGATCACCAGACTGAAGTGCCTTGGTGAATATATCAGCTGTGTGGGCCTGAGTGGCCACGTAACGCAGACGAAGCTGACTACGCTGCACAGAATGGGTGTTAAATAAACTACGATAACATAAGTTCTACGCTCGCTTGTGGAAGTGTCACTTCTATAAACGTGAGTTAGAATATCTAGGACATCTCGTGGGGAAAAGTGGATTGAAAGTCGATCCCAAGAAAGTGGCGGCTGTTGAGAACTGGCCCGTTCCACTGGACGTGGGTCAAGTCCGGTCCTTTTTGAGAAAGTACGAACGAGAAGTGAATGACTATGAAAAAGAAGTGGGTACAAATAGGAAACCCTAATTGGGTTGTACCCCCTATGGGATACCCCACTATAGCCTACAGAAATAAGTAAGCTATATGTTCTGACACACCCCCATAGGCAAAGTGGGGGAGAACAAGGGGTCACAAGACCAGTCAAGCAAAGCAAAGCAAAGCTCAGGGTGGATCACAAAGTCACCACGCATTCCGAGCACAAGTTCAAAGGCCAGAAGGCCAGTTCACATGCAAGATCATATATAGAGATAAACAAGAGTCAAGCAAGCAAGAGCAAGAGTATATATAGGTGAAGGTACAAGCAAGGTCAAGAGCAGAGCAAGTGAGGCAAGACAGGCACAAGACCCAACTGCGTGCAACAACGCTGATGATCACAAGGCGCAAGTGCCTTGGTGAAGACATCAGCAGTGTTGGCCTCAGAGGCCACGTACGCAAGTCGCAACTGTCCACGCTGCTGTAGCTCACGAGCAAGAAAGTAGCGGAGAGCAATGTGCTTCGTTCTGTGCTCCAGTCGCTGCTCTCGACACAAGGCCAGCATGGCCTTGTTGTCTACGTACAGGACTGGAGGAGAACGAGGCGGCTCTCCAAGGTCGGTCAGCAGGTAGGTGAGCCAGCGTAACTCCTGTGCAGCCATAG